GCGGCCGGGCCGCCCGCGCCCGCCGCTGGGGTGGGCGGCCCCACGGGGCTCTTGAGCTCCGTCTCTAGCAGGCTGTACATCGTGGGAGCGGGGAGGAGGTGCGCCAGAGTGGCGGGAGGAGAAGGCGCGCCCTGGGGTGGAGGCGCGGCCACGGTGAACAGGCCCGGGGACTCCGTCGGAGGGGCGCCTGGGGGCCGGGGGGCCCGCGAGTCGGCTGCCAGGCCCGGCCGGCCGAAGGGCTGCTGCTCCGCGCCAAGTCAGCGGGCCGCTCGCACCTGATGCGCGGTCTCGAGCCGGTAGCCTTCGTAGTCTGGCCGGGCGCTAGCCCGGGCCCTTATATACCTGCTCGGATCCCCCGGGGTTGGGGCTCGATCCGCCCCTCGCCACCGGGAGGCCGGCTGATTGACAGACTCGCCGTGATGCGCCCTGGCCAATCATCACGGAGCCCCCGTTCAACCCCGCTGGAAAAAAAAAAGTTCGGGGAGCCCTGGAGTTCACCCTCACGCCCCTCTTGGGCCGGGTGACGTGAGGAGAGTTATTCAGGAGGCGGGAGTCCCGGAGAGCCTCTCAGAGACCACCAATTAGGGTCTCAAAAAGTTTGAAAGAATGAAACTCGAGGAGGTGACCGAGAAGGGAGGGGGTGCGCGAGCAGCACGGGGGGAGGCGAGGGGGCCGAGGGGCGCCCGCGGGGCTCAGCATACAACTTTGCCGCCCGGGCCGGGGCCCAGCGGGGCCCGGTCCCGGGCCACCCTACAAAGCTTCCCGCTATCTGCGCAGAGGTGCTCCCACCGCTTCTGTCGCCGGCGCTAGGGGCACCGGGCGTCTTCAGCTACCGCGGCGGGCTTGGGCACCCCTGGCGCCACGGAGGTGCCCAGAGCTGCGGCTCCCAGAAGCCTTCCTGGGAATCGACCTCGCTCTAGCCGACCCGCCGCGGGGAAGGCGCGGGGCGGTGTGCCCGGAATGGAGCGGGGGTCGGGGACGTGGGCGCGCGAGCCAGGCTGCGGAGCCGCGGGGCATTTGGGGGCTGTGAGGCTCTGATGCTGTTCGTGGGCGAGCGAGCGAGCAGTTTCGAGTCTGGCTGCCCGAGCCGGGTGGAGGCGCTCACACGCCACGGGGTGGCAAGTGTGTGGGGGGCAGCGGGGGTGCACCGGCTTCGGCGCTCTCACTCGAGGCCCCCGCTCAGCGGCCCCTTTTTGTCTCTGCGCTCTGGCCATTTCGGTTTTTCCAGTCCGATGCCCCTGAGGGGGAGGGTCGGGCCCCTTGGAAAATCCGTTTTCATGGCAACCCGGAGCCTCTCCGAGTGAAAGAAAAGTTTCTTGAAGGGGGGGGAGGTGTGGGGGTGGACGGTGGTCGGAGAGGAGCCGAGGCTGTCTTCGGGGCGGACCGCAGGGCCCCCTCCACTGGCTGTGCACCTGCCAGGACCACTGAGCGCTGCTCTCGCCGCGCAGCCGCGCCGCCTCCCCGGGGAGCAGGCTCTGCTAACGGATTCCGACCTTCTCCTTTTTTGTTTTACAGCCTTCCCGACTGGAGCCCCAACGATTGGAGCTGGACCCTCACCCGCATTGGGGGGTTGTTCGCCGAAGCCCGGTGGCGCAGGAACGCCGGTTGCGCGGAGTGGGAACCCCGACAATCGCCTCTGCCCACACTGGCGAGTGACACAGCTTAGGAGCCTCCGGGAGCCGCCCGAGGCAGCGGGTGGTAAAGAGAAGCCCGCCGGGCACGAGTGGCAGGAACTGAAATAAGGTGTTCGCGCCGGTGTGGGATCTCGCCCCCTCCCCCGGCCTGGTGGAAAGTGGGAAACCAAAAGAAAGGCGTAAATAGTAAGTGTGGAGAAAAAAAAAAAAGTCCCCAGACTTCTTGCACTTTAGCGCTTTTGCAAGACCAGAGGCTCCAGAGATGCCTGCACGCCTAGTGTGCTCCGCTCTACCTCACGAATTTATAATACACGTTTGTAGCTTGGGGGACATGACAGGGCAGATTAGCTCTCGCTGGGTCGGGCGGACCGCTGGCACCAGAACCTCCTCATCGCCCTGAAGTTTGGAGTCGCGAATCCATGCTTGCATGTCTGAGTTTTACCTGATGATCTATCTTGCTCATCAAGCAAACGATCCCAGGCAGAAACGGCCAGCATTTGAAAGGTTGTGCAGAGTTAGGGGTTTAAAGTCAACTCTTCGGAAGAGCTCTGTATATGGGTCGCTCCCAGTAGCAGGGGGTGCACCCTTAAGCTGACACGGCGTGTCGCAGAAAGGGGAATGATTGGGCGGTCCCCACCTGCACCCCTTTCTCTGCAAACTGGCTGACAAAGCCAGATTTTCCTAGGCAAACCCATCCTCTCTACTTCAATGTGCAGAGCCCTGCCCTCCTGCCGCCTTCTCCAGATGCCCACTCTGCTCGTCTGGGTCTCAGAGGCTGTTGCTAAGTGAAGCGAGTTTTAGGAAACCACCCAACCGACGCGCGGCCTGGCTTCCAGTAGCCTGACAGATGTCAGCATTCTTTCCAAGTTTCAGGACCCAAGTAAACCCTTGTAGAGACAGCGTGGGGGGCTGCATATTTCCCAAGGCCAAGGATGCCTAAATCCAGGCTACTCGTCACAGCAGATCACTTCACAGCAGATCACCTAAAGAGCTGCTCCCTGCCCCTGGCTGTCACTTGATCACACTTAGCCCACGGCTTGGTTGAGCTCAACTTTCCTTACATGCTACTGGCAGGTTTACCACCATCTTTTGCCAGGATCAGACACCTCTCCCAACCTTCTAACTTCCTTCTGGGGTACTGCTTAACACCCCGTTCTTGTGGTCCATGGTTCTGGGGTGATCTGTGCAGCCCCCCTGTAAACCTTACTCGGAATTTCCTTGGTATCTCTTGTCAGTCCTCGGCACAAACTACCATTTCAATAGACAGGGAAGGGTAACCGTGAAAATGGGGAAGGACCGGAAAGAGACCATTTCTCCTGGCCCACCGGTTCTCAGAGCAGGCGCAGACACCAGCCCGCGGTGCCACTTTGCCAGGGGCAAGAAATAGCGCAGTGGGTAACACAAGTCTGAGGGGTTTCTATCCCGGTGGGGCTTGGCCGCAGAAACCTGTGCCTCCAATTCGCACCCAGCATCCAGTGAGGAAAGCAAAGGGACCCAGCGGGACCCAGTAACTCCTCCGACCTCTCCCAGCGGAGACCAAGAGTTGGGCAACTCTCTCGCCGTTTCAGGCTTCCGGGAGCCGGTGGCGGCAGACCGAGCCGGGGCTGGTGGGTTGGGAATCCGGCCAAACACTCACTCCCCATTCCCCCGCCCTCCCAAGAGAGCTCAGGTTCCCTTCCACTGAGGCTGGGCCTGGGGCTCCGAACACCCAGGGCGCGGCAACAGCGCCGTTTATCGGCACGGGCTGGAAACTCACCCAGCGGCGCCTGTTCCCGCCCTCGCCCCTCGGGGCTTGGACTTCACCCCAACCCTCCAAGAAGAGGGTTCACCTCGAGCAGAAACAGTGCTTATCCTACGAGGGCTGCTTACTGCAGAACTTGGGGACCCAGGCCGGTTGGCCCGGTGGGATCTGGTTGCATAGGGCGCGCCCAATCTGCTGCCCTCGGGTTCCACCCCCGGGCAGAAATCACGTGCCCGGAGGGCTTCCTTAGCAGGTGTGCCTCCGAAGAGCAGAGCTGGAGAGCGATGGCCTCAGCTTTTGCAAGGGGTCCCTTGTGGATTCCTTTATAGCAAGTGCTCCCGGGAAACTTCCTGGTGTCTCCCACTGGGTTAAAACCCTACCTGTTAGAAGAGTTGCTCTGTGTTTACTGGAAGGAAGGGGGGGGGTGTCAGTGCCACTCCTGGCCCTGGACACTTTCTCTGGCTCCTCTGGCCCTCTGAGGCGGGCGGTAGGGCTAACCTGTTGGCTTTTTGCAAGTGCAGCTGAGCCCAGCAAAGCCATCTGGCTTTATGGAAGTAGGAAAGACTGATTCTGGATCTGTAGAAGCAATTTGCTTTTCAGGAGGAAAAAAAGTTTGCTTATCTAAAGGCAGTATTTCCGAATTCTTCCTTGAGAAGATCCCTTGACTATTTACTCTGGCTCCAAGCCAAGATTGTAATTTAGGCCACAGACTGAGGCTTGGGTCTATGGTAATATCATCTCTTATTTAAAAAAAAAAAAAAAGGGGGGGGGGGTGGGTGGAGGGAAAGCCCACCCACTATCTGAGCATTTAGTTGGGACCCCCCCTCTATCTCTCCATCCCCAGCTTCTGGGAAAAACAAAAACCCCCTTCTTACAGGTCTGAGAAGGCACTAAAGATCCCATACTGGTGGAAGTTGCAAACAATAACCCAGTTGATGACCTCTAAAGAAAGGTTACTGGGGTAGCTATCCTGATGTGTGGTGACATGGGGGGGGGGAGCAAAAGCCCCTGTGGGCAGTACAATTGTATTCTATTGCATTGCACTTAGGAGTGGTTCTTGGGGGAGGGGGTGGACTTTTCAAAGCAGGTTTCCAAGTTTCATTCACTTAGTAAATGGAGGTCTATTTGGTAGGATACACTGGGGATCCCCTTGACCTATATCTTGGCACTCCGTTGCAAGGGTTTCTCAGTCGTGTGTGAATGTGTGGTGTGTAGAGACTGAGGACCAGCTCTCTTTTGTCCAGGTGCTCAGCAGCCATGAGGAATTTGGCAACCTTTGCCCTCAACCAACTGTGCATCCTCCCCACCCCGAGAAAGGAAGGGGATAACCGGAAACTGGGTCCTAATTCCAGAGGGTCTACCCGGCTACCCGGTCACTGCCCCCACCCCCGCGCACAACTCTTGCTCCGCCGCTCTTAGCGCCCCCAACCCGTACCCCTACGGAGCTCCGGCGGGGGGGGGGGCGCCCTCTGGCCCGGCTTGCCCTACCACCCAGCCCGTTGCCTTTCCGCCTCTCTGTGGCCGCAGAGGTTCCGGGCCCCTCTCCGTGGCCAGGTGGCCTTCCCGCAGCGGGGTCGGGGGGAGCACGATATAAATCGCTGTCTCAACCTCACGTTTTCGAGTTATTCCACGTCCCCACAATTCCGCACGCTGGTGCACCCAGCGAGGAGCCCGGGTCCCGGGCTGGCCGCGCTTGCCTGGAGAAGGGTGCCCAGAACCTCCCGGGCCCGCGGGCCGCCCCGGGGCGCGCGGCAGGTCCTGGGACCCCGGCGCGGGGGCGAGGAATGCGCGGGCCCGGGGGCCACTTTCGGCGTCTGCCGGCGGCCTCAGCCCTTCTTTGGCCGGTTTCTTTTTGGCTCTCGTGGCCCCGTTTCCGCGTTCTCTTAACAGCGTGGAGAGCCACGGAATTCGATGCGCGCCACTCCTGCGGGCTCCTCGCCCCGCTCGCCGCGCGATTAAGTCTTTGCCTTTCGGCCGCCTTCGCCGCACCCCTCTGGGGCGCTCAGCGGCGCGCTAGGCGGACCCCGCTCGGCCCGCTGGGCTGGGGC